TGCACAGCAAAGGAAACTACAAACAAGACCAAAAGACAACCCTCAGAATGGAAGAAAATATTTGCAAACAAATCAACGGAGAAAGGATTAATCTCCAAAATATATAAAGAGCTCACACAGCTCAATATTAAAAAAATAAACAACCCAATCCAAAAGTGGGCAGAAGACCTAAAAAGACATTTTTCCAAAGAAGACAAACAGATGGCCAAGAAGCACATGAAAAGCTGCTAAACATCACTAATTATTAGAGAAATGCAAATCAAATCTACAATGAGGTATCATCTCACACCAGTTAGAATGGGCATCATCAGAAAATCTACAAAAAACAAATGCTGGAGAGGGTGTTGAGAAAAGGGAACCCTCTTGTACTGTTGGTGGGAATGTAAATTGATACAGCTACAATGGAGAACAGTATGGAGGTTCCTTAAAAAACTAAAAATGGAATTACCATATGACCCAGCAATCCCACTACTGGGCATACACCCTGAGAAAACCATAATTCAAAAAGACACATGTACCCCAATGTTCAATGCAGCACTATTTACAATACAATACAACCTAAAAGCCCATCGACAGATGAATGGATAAAGAAGATGTGGTACATATATACAATGGAATATTACTCAGCCATAAAAAAGAACGAAATTGGGTCATTTGTAGAGACGTGGATGGATCTAGAGACTGTCATACAGAGTGAAGTAAGTCAGAAAGAGAAAAACAAGTATCATATATTAACGCATATATGTGGAACCTAGATAAATGGTACAGATGAACCAGTTTGCAAGGCAGAAATTGAGACACAGATGCAGAGAACAAATGTATGGACACCAACGGGGCAAAGTGGTGTGTGTGTGTGTGTGTGTGTGTGTGTGTGTGTGTGTGATGAATTGGGAGATTGGGATTGACATGTATACACTGATATGTATAAAATGGATGACTAATAAGAACCTGCTGTATAAATAAATAAATAAAATTCAAAATAAAAATACATAGTGACTCTATCTCCAGTATTGCTTTTGGCCTCAAAGTCTTTTTTGTCCAGTATCAATACAGGTCTGCCAGTTTTTTTCTAGCTACTATGGTGTGTGTTTTCTAAACCTTTTACTTTCGAACTATCTGTATCTTTATGTGTTAGGAATGCGTCTTTCAAAAGTACATACCTGAATTCTAAAACCAGTCTGACAATCCATATTGGCTGAAACAGTGGTTCATTTGTAATTATTTCTACCTTCTTTTGTGCCTTTACTTGTCCCACCTTTTCTAAAATTTTCTCTACCTCTCTTGCTATGTTTGGATTATTTTTTTCAGTTAATTTTTCTCTCTACTAGTTCGAAAGGTTTACCTTCTGTTTCTATTTTTATGATAGAAGCATTAAGTTACATTAGTTAACTTAGTGTAATTAACTAACACAAACTCCAAACACTCCATCCCAATCTATAAGCTTTGTTATCCAGTACTTTAGTTCTATCTTTTTGCGGGGAAGGAGGGCCTGGTGATTCACTTTATTTTTTTTAAACTTTTTATTTTGAACTAATTTCAGACTAACAGAAAAGTTGCAAGAAAAGTACTAAGAATTCCCTTCACCCAGATTCCCTAAATATTAATACTTTACCAAGTTGGCTTGCATCATTCTCTTCCTCGCTCTTTCACGTACATATACATACATGTTATTTTTTCAGAACCTTTTGAGAGCATGTTACAAACATAATGCCCTTTTGGTTCTAAATATTTCACTGTTCATTTCCTAAAATCCAAAAACATTATCTTATAAAACTATAGTATAGTGAGTAAAATCAGGAAATTAGCAATGATACAACCCTATTACCTAGCCTGCAGATCTAATTCAAATTTTGCTGATTGACCTAATAATGTCCTCTGAGGGCGGGCTGGGGAGGGGCCACATTTCTGTGGTCCAGGATCCAATCTAGGTTTATACATTGAATTTAGTCATCTTGTTTCATTAATCACCTTTAATTTGAATAGCTCTTCACTCTTTTTTTTTTGTCTTTTGAGAACTTGACATTTTAGAAGTATAGTATGTCTCTCAGTTTGGGTCTGTATTATGTTGCCTCAGATTTGGGCCATGCCTTTTTGGCCGGAATGCTAGAGAAGTGATGTGGCACCCTCCTCAGGGTGCTGCATCAGAACTCATGTGATGCTGACTGGTTGCTTGGTTAAGGGAGTAGCTGCCAGGTTTCTCCACTACCTTTCCCTCTGTAATGAATAAGTATTTTGTGGCCCAATACACTAGTCATTATTATTATTCTTTTAATTAATCAAATTTTATCTACATTTGCCCATACTTTACTAGTTCAGTTATTTTAAAAACATTTTATTTATTTATGGCTGCGTTGGGTCTTCGCTGCTACGTGTGGGCCCTCTCCAGTTGTGGCGAGCCGAGGCCACTCCCTGCCACAGTGCGTGGGCCTCTCATTGTGGTGGCCTCTCCCGTTGCGAAGCATGGGCTCTAGGTGCACGGGCTTCAGCACCTGTGGCTCATGGGCCTAGCTGCTCCGTGGCATGTGGGGTCTTCCCGGACCAGGGCTCAAACCTGTGTCCCCTGCATTGGCAGGCAGATTCCCAACCACTGCGCCACCAGGGAAGCCCTTTACTAGTTTATTGATTCACCATTTCTTCTGGAATTTTAGATCTTGTATCTGGATCCCTTTCCTTCTGCCTAAACTATGTCTTTTAATACTTCCTTTAGTGAGGGCCTATTGGTGACAAATTCTCACAAGTTTCTATTTGTCTGAAAACACCTCTGTTTTTTTCCTCATTGTAGAAAGGTATCTTTACTGGATATACAGTTCTAAGTTAGTAGTTATTCACTCTAGAACACTGATGATAGTCCCCTGTTTTCTGGCTCCTATTACTGCAGTTGGCAAGTGAGCTATCAGTTTAATTGCTACTTCAAGAGTAGTATGTCTTATTTCTCTCCTGTTTTCACATTTTTCTCTTCGCCTGTGGTAGATTACGGTGTGCCTAGGTGTGGATTTCTTTTTATTTATCCTAACTGGGATTTTTTGGCCTTTCCAAATCTGTGGTGTAGTGTCATTTTCACAAGTTCTGAAATTTGTTAGTAATTACCTCTTCAAACGTTATGTCTGCCTCATTCTCTTCTTTCTCTCCCTTAGGAATTCTCATTATATTAAAATTAGATTTTATTACTCCATCCTTCAGTCTCTTTTAACTATTGTTAAGGGCTCCAGCTTGGGGCCCATGTTGCACCATTTCTTCACTTCTGTCTTCCAGCTCATCACTTCCCTACTCAGTTGTGTCAAATATGCTATTAATTTCTTTCAGCATTATTAGTAGGTTTGACTCTGCTCTCTGTTGTTTCACCTAGCTCTATTTTGTTTTACCATGGGATTTGAGATTTTTGACTGTGAGCCAATATTTCCTGTAACTTTTCTTCTGGGACTCTGTTGGGTCCTGGATTGAAGGTGGATTTGCATTTGCTTCTGTCAGGCATCCAGGGCACTACCAATCCAGGACCAATTTAAACTAAGTTTTGTGTATGTGGCTTTTGAGGACCATCCAGGAACTATGAAATCAGACTGGGAAGTATGTGTGAGGGTCAGTTTATTGTTATAACTTTTTAGGGAACTATGTTTTCCCCCTCCACTTAGCTTTGAGACTTGCTTTTTCTTTGTACTCTTGGAGAGTGTGGTGAGCAAATTCCTCATTTAGGGTCTCAGCTTTAGCCAGAAGTTTTCCTTCCTGTTCCCCTGTTTATACGAGTCCTAGGCTTTGTTTTTTTGTCTTCTGCACCCCATTTGGCTATGAAAACTGAAGCTCAACGTCACTGGGTTCAGCAAACGCCCTCCAAGTGAGTCTTAGTTTCAGAGTTCTGCTTCATTCTCTGAGTTCCTGTTTTCACTCAGTTTATGGCCTCTGAGAAGTTCTTATGTATTTATTAAAAATATTTTAAAATATAATTTATCCAGCATGAAGCTCAATCAGAGCAACCAGTCCAAAACTGCTAGAAAAGAAAGTCTCTTTCATTTTACAGATGAGCAAACTGAGCTTCAGAAAAGCTAAGCAACTCACCCCAAAACAGAGAGAGTAAATAGTAAAGTTGGGATTGAACCCAGACAGAGACACTGAAACACGTATTTCAAAACTAAAGTCTAATTTACCCAAATTTAAGTCACATGAATTAATCTACATGTAGATTTGCAAATATCAACTTGGGTGTCCTAAGAGTGAAACATAAATCTCAAAATTGTTTCCTATTATACTCCTTGAGGAAGCAGGATGGAAAAAGAATTACATTAAAACTGCCTCCATTTTAATAAAGTTAAAAATACCTAATATATACTGTATATGTACGTGTGTGTAAGTGTGAGTGTGTGTATGTGTGTGATCTTTGATGGTGGTGATCAGAAAATACCACAAATCACAAATGCCCAATAAGAACAATCTGAGACTGTCAGGTTTTGTTACAGTTTAAACAAATGAACTGAATTTTAATGCTCAGTGTGTAGTTATCACTATGTGCGGAAGAATATATAAATCATAGTGAAGACGCCCTATCTCCCCAGCCATCTAATTCTTCTTCCCAGGAGTAACCATTTTTAACAGTTTCTTCAGTAACTTTTAAACCATATTACATTTCCACAGCTGAGGAGACAAATGAACTTACCAATTCTGCTATGTGAGCCACGGGCCAAATGAGCCCTTCTCTCTAGTCTCACCAATCCAACTTTCACATCTAATATTTCCCACTGCTGTTTATATGGCTCAGACATATATCCAAGTTCTCTCCTCCCCTCCCTCCGCGCCCCCCACCCCAATCACTGTGCACCAGGGATCTGAATCCACTTTTCTTTGTTTACAATTCAAGATTCTACTCTGCATAGTGTATCTGTCTAATAATTACCTCTGATAGTTACTAATGTTAGTTAATAGAGAGACTTCAAACACATTGTTTCCATAAAGAATCAACAAAACTAAAATATAAATCAACTGTCATCACACGAAGCTTGCTCTGAACTTACAGGGATTGTGCAGCTGTCTGAATCTCGAGACATAAATCCAACATTGCCTAAGTGAAGGATGCCAGCAAGTATTCGGAAAATTCCCATCTGATAAGATTCACTAATTCCTGAAACAGCAGAGTAAATGAACAAGTGATCAATTTCAGAACAGGAACTAAACAATTATAGCAGACAATTTTAAGCCCATCTTTAACCCTTGAATAATGCCAGATGTTGTACACATTATAATGTGTCATAGTTAACAACACTTTCATCTTTGTTGACATTAACACATAATGCGCTTTAGCATTATGGTTGAGAGCATGGGCTGTGGAATGAGACAGACCTCAGCTTGAGGCCTGGCTCTGCTCCTGACCTGCCATCTGACATTGGCAGGTAACTTCACCCTTCTATTCTTCTGTTTCCTCATTTGAGATACAGGGACAATAGGGACTATCTCAAAGGGAGTTTGTAAACATTAAATAAGAAAATGCACATAGTAAACTTAACACACTATGTGACACATGGTAGGTGCTAAACAAACTATCACCATCATTGTCACACAATGAATTTAAGTATCTCATTAACATTATTACCTTTTCTATTTATCTCTACTCCAAATGCAAGTTGTAGCCCAATAAGGCTGTTTTAAGTCAGATTATTTAATTACTTCTTCTAACTACAGACCAACTATAAGTCAAAGAGACCCCAAGATTAGAAGTGCTCAGGCTGGTGTTGCACTCCAGCCTGATGAGCGAGTATCTAAACACAGCATTAGAACAGGACCTGAAGGATCAGGCAGGATGAGAAAGCTGGACAGCCCTTGGTATTTTACCAGCTCGGGCTTCATTTTTCAATAAGGTAAGATTTTTCCAGAATACTACATATAAATTATATTCGAGTAAAAATAGTAAAATGATTTCCAAATATGTCACTATATACAGAGTAATAGACAGTTCATCTTACAAGGAATGTTTCTGCCATCTCCTGAATTATGGCTTTTTCAAATTTGCAATTTTCTATTTACAAACAGAATTAGCCCCGGAAGTAAAGCAGTGTTTCTCAAACTATAATATGCACATGAATCACCAATGGATCTGGTTAAAATGCAGATTCTGGTTTAGTAGGTCTGAGACGGGGTCTGAGATTCTAAATTTTTGCAAGCTCCATAGTGGTCCTGGACCATACTCTGATTAGCAATGCTTTTAAATTAAATTAACTCACCTCAGGTTATTCCTCAAAGTACCAATATATGACTTCAGAATTATTCATATTCTGAAGCTTTTAAATAAATAATTCAACACTAAAAGTTATATAAGTACATTTCTAAAGGTCAATTTATTTATATGTAGATCCAATATTGTTTTTTAATCCAGAAACAAGACAGTGACATGAGCTATTTCAGAAACAGAATAAACTACATGTAATACAGTATTTTGTCACCAAGCCAGCTCAACCACATTTCCAGGCCACAAAAGACACCCAAATCGAAAAAACAAACACAAAAAAATCCTATAAAACATGAGTTTCTGTATAGAAACCCATTTCATTTGGCTCTAGCTTTCAGATTTTGTAAAAATTTAAGTAAACAGTCCCACATCCCCTGATGCCCTCAATGTATTTTTTTTTAATAAACTTATTTATTTTATTTTTGGCTGCACTGGGTCTTTGTGGCTGCACATGGGCTTTCTCTAGTTGTGGCGAGCGGGGGCTACTCTTCGTTGCGGTGTGCGGGCTTCTCATTATGGTGGCTTCTCTTGTTGCGGAGCACGGGCTCTAGGTGTGTGGGCTTCAGCAGTTGCAGCACGTGGGCTCAGTAGTCGTGGTGCATGGGCTTAGTTGCTCCGCGGCACGTGGGATCTTTCCAGCCCAAGGCTCGAACCTGTGTCCCCAGCATTGACAGGCGGATTCTTAACCACTGCGCCACCAGGGAAGCCCTCGAATGTATGTTTTAAATAGCTTTACTGAGGAATAATTTGCGTACCATAAAATTTACCCATGTTAAATATGCCATTCAATGGTTTTTAGTAAATTTACAGAGTTGTGCAGCCATCACCATAACCTAATTTCAGTACAGTCCCCATCACCTCCAAGAGAAACACTGTGCTCATCTGCTGTCCAACTGTGTTTTATAAAGAATCTAAAAATAAATTAAAAACAAAACACCAAAAATGAATGTTAAGTCTCTCAACAATTCTCACTACTTAATATGAAGCTAAGCCAATGTTCCAATCAAAGGTTGCTCGAGTCAAAAAGCTATTGCTTCTAAAAATGCAAGAATAAGATTACATACCTAGCAAAGTGCAGGCCTGCCTGGTTTGTGCCATCTCCTTGGCATCATCTACTCCTTCAATCACAGGACTGCCACCTTGCTTCGTGTAATGAAAGTTATTTGCGTCTCCTGCAATTAAGGAAAATTTTTTAAAAGATGTGCAGTCTATGAAAAGGCCTTGACTTCTACCCTTATGTCCACTCTGAATTAGAGACAGTGACAGCACAATTAAGTGTATAGAGTCTGAAATTTGACTTCCTGTGTTTTTAGTTATATTTTAATACAAGACTCAAAATTAAATAATGGAGTGAAATGTTTGTAGAATTTGTGAAATGAATAGTCCTTTCCTAAAGGTTTTATTCCAATCTACAGGCTAGGATAATTTCTTCAAACACTTTACTCCCTTCTTCATAGAGTTCCACCTATGGAACCGCATAGATTTCCACCACGTAAACTCCTTTACATTTTTTTTCCTTTTAATCAAGGCAAATTTCAAACATATAGAAAAGTACAGAAACTAGTATAATGAGCCCTTGTGTGCTCATCACCCATCTTAAACAAGTATCAACTCAAGGCCAATCTTGTTCCATTTATACGGCCACTCACCACTTCCTCATCCCATGAGTTATCTTGAAGCCAACCGTAGGCCTCTTATCATTTCACCCATAAATATTTCAGTATGAGATAATCTCCTTTTTAAGAAGTAAATTTGTGAACTCAGAAATTAACATAAGACAATACCAGCACAATAAATCTAGTGCCATATTCATACCTAATCGCAGCATTTTAAATTCAGGTAACTTTGCTGAGGCACAAAGCTGATAGAAGATATGATAGTTTCTCTCCTCTTCTGCCTTTGAAAAAAGAAGAGTTTTCAATTACAGCATTTTAATCTAAAACTCAGAAAATTCAATCATAAAAATAAAAATTTAATTATCTCATTTGATGAAATAAACTGTCCTCTCCCAAATTTCCTAATACATATCTATGATTATTAAACCTTGTGATTTATTAGCTATGTGCATCTGTGTGAGTGTGTATCTGTTGGTCACATTCAAAATAATATACCTGATAGTAATGCTTTTTGAACTAGTGAACAGCTTGCTCTATGGCACTGTCATAAGAGATCAGTGCCTCCGCGGCAAGCTAAAACCTTTTTATTTTTTTCCCTGCAACACTCAATATTTTCTCACAGTATTTTCTTAGATTCATGGTCTTCCTAAGACTTCTGACTAGAAGAAAAAAAAATCCCATTTTTGCCATATGTACTGTAGCTGTTTGTAAGAAATCCTCAAATGCACTACATCGTCCATATCATTTCAGTTTATATATTTAAAAATAAATTTAAAAAATTTTAAATAGAAAATAAATCATGTACAATGCTAAGATCATTTCTTACTATTTTCTGACAGTCTTTTTCCACATATATACTTTAAAAATACAGTTGTAATCATATTGTTTATACAATATTATTATACTCTATTGTCATATCCTTGAATTCTACAGTGTATTCAGTTAACTGAAGAATAGAGCAAGTAAGGCCAAGGTCAGGTTTGATGCCCAACAGGGGCTGGTGTCTGGTAAAGAAAACTTAGTTTTCTGTGTTTAGTGCACAGAATACACTAAACAAATTAACAATATACCAATGACCACAAGCATGAATAGGCAAGAGGTCAGGGGTTTCAGTACACAGACAACTAGAAAAGCAGGGGGATCTGCAGAAATGCTTTGGTCATCTTTGTACACGAAGGACAATATCAAGTATGCTCTTTCTGACTGTTTGACTCACTTTGATATAACCAAACACCCACAACATTATATAGCCCTGTGTGTTGGGGAACAGCTAGAATTGCTTCAATGTTTCTAGACAAGACAATAAGGATTAGGCCTTAACATTCTGTCTTAAGCACCACTAGCCTCTGGTCACCATACCCATTTTCCCTTTAATCGTCTACCTATCAATCAAATCTGTACTATTTAGACTCAATCTTCTCTTAGGTCTACATATATTTCCCCCATTGTTTCCTCTGGCTACTAAACATTTTTTTTTGGACCTATTCAAGTATACATGTGTGCACAGTAACACAGCTCTGCATGTGTCTAGATATTAGAACAATGGAGGAGGGTGACTATTCCTTCGCTATACAAATCAGGTATTACATTTAGGTGGCCACAAATCAGGCACACCCCCAAAGTCAAAGCCAGGGTAGCTCTAGGCTGCCCAAACTCATGACTCTCAGTATGTCCCAGACAGTTTCAAAGCCTTAAGACACCTGTGCAATGGAAATTGTAGACTCTGCTACATGGCGGTGCCAGGGCTATTTGAACCTCAATATGGCGAGCATCTAGTTAAGGGACTACAGGAACCCCATCTCAGCATGCAGTGGGTCACCAGGAGTCCTATATGGGGAGTTTTCCAATGATAAGTCCACATTCCCTGAGTATACCTATAAACATGTGAACGCACACCTGCCGGTGTTGTAATGTGTAGTACTTCCCATTTACAAATAAAAAAGGAGTAAGTTCCCTGGTGAGGATTCCGGGCTTTCACTGCCGTGGCCTGGGTTTAGTCCTCGTTGGGGAACTGAGATCCCCGCCCCCCGAAAAGGAGTAAGAGCATATGTGCAAATGCAAGTCTGGCACTGATCCATACACTTGAGTGTGTTCTTTGACAGTAGTTCACAACCGAGTTGTGAAGATCTTTTAACCCTCATTATTCTATCTAAACAGTATTACATTCTGAGAGAAGAAGGAAGGAAGAAGGACAAGGATAATTTTTTTCTTCTTGAACTGAGTTTAAACTGTAACTCACTGAAGCATAGACCAATGTCGTCCCTATCAACTGGGAAATGTGACAGACGAGACTAAACTAATAGCGCCTCTTCTTAACTAAGCTTCTCCTACAAGCATTTGGAGGAAACAGTCAAAACCATTAAACCTAAATCAGTGCCCAGTCCCAAAGACTATTAGTCTAAGGGGTACCCTCTGATAGGCACTGTTTTACATGCTCCAGTCCAAGTGTGGTTTGCAGTAATATTGCAGTAATATTGTCATAACATGCTCAAGAACATCTGGGAATAAAATGCACACCAACAAACACGAGCTCTGGAATTTTATGGCAATCTATATGTATACCTGCCCGGCTTACCTGGAACACCACTCTGGATTTCTCTAAAAGGTAAGTTCTCATATTGGCACCAATGATTCGATGTCTCTTATCAAAACCAATCTCAATGTACTTCCCAAAACGGCTGCTATTATCATTCCTGGTTGTCTTAGCATTTCCGATTGACTAAGAGACAAAGGGAAAACAATAAGGTTTTAGAAGTGCAATTCATGCCCTGACATTTACAGATTTGTTCAGGGAGAGAAAGAACACAACCCTTTTAAATTGATTCTTTTAAAAACAGAACCAGTTTGGCCCCTGCAGGCACAACTGTATGCTTTGCTCACTGCACAACCACACAGGTATACACTAATAGTCCGTATCGGCCTTGTTATTCTCGCACAAATTATTTTCAGAAACAGCAGACTCGAGCCCAGTGCCTGGGAGGTCTTCGCCCACCATTTGTGGTATGGAACATACTCATTCATGTCAACAAAGGAAAAGAACGGATGGGACCAGGGGCTGCCTGGGCACATGCCCTCTTAGTTAAATAACAGGGTTTGGTTTCTTGAAAAACTTAGTCTGTTTTATGTAAATAAGCTGGTTAAGACAAATTAATATTTTCCTGGAAATACTGCTTTGGTGTTCAGGGTCTCTTTAGCCAGTAGGCCCAGCCGGACTGCTTATTAGTGGAGTGTTAGTAATTACCCACTTAATTCAAAGCCATTTTCAGAAACCAGAGACAGTAAAATTTGGCTTTGGATTTTGATAGTTGTATCTAACTTGGCAAGACATCTGCTAAAGAATGCAGAGAATGTAACTTTCTGCTAAATTTTTCATATAATCCTAAAAATTTAAATTGAATATGCACTGCTTTCTGATTTAGGTAACATGCATCTATACATTTTTCTTTCAAAGCAAAGCAAAAAACATGCTGTAGTTAGAAAAGCAAGTGTTAACATATTGCATAAATTAAATGCTTAATAAGATAATTTCATACAATTAATATCTTTCACTGCGCAAAGCCTGTGACTATTAGGATTAGTATATTGAAACCACAGCAGAGAGAAAGATACGAAAATGCTCTGGAGCACTAAGAAAGCAATACAAAAAAAAAAAAGCAATACGAACACAAGTGACGAAAACAGTAGTAACAGAGCCATAAAAGTCAACACATTAGATTCTCTGATCAATCAAAGAAAACGTATCTTCACTCTCTGAAATATAAGACATGTATTACCCTGTTGTCTTGGCAATGAGAACACTGCTAACTTTCAGATTAACATTATAGATTGAAAGAATAGTTGGAAGCTATTTTCCCAGCAAAACTTGATATTACAAAAGGCACAACAAAAAGTCTCCATATATTCCCATTATTTTTATTTTGTTTAGAAAAATAAACGTGAAATTTTCTTTCAGCACAACATATTCTGTCAAAGAGCAGATGAAGGGTTACATGTAGTAGCAGTGGCAGCAGCAGTAATAATTACTGAGTGTTTACCAGGCACTGTCCTAAGCACTTTCCCCCAGCAACTAAGCAAGTTAGGGGAGGGTGGTCCACAGCTTCTCCTCCCTCCCAGACTCTTATCCCAACCTCCATATGTCATCCCCCTGCCCCAATCTACTTACAGTGGGGATCAGAGTGGCCAACCTGCCCAGATAACACTACACTCTGTGAGAAGAAGTGAGTAGGCCAGAGTTGAAACAGACCCTTTTGTCTTTGAGTACAAGGTATATAAACATATAGCAAAGAATGGTAGAAGGAGTAAATGAAATAGAAGTCTGAAGATCTGGGTATCACACCAGGGCCTACCACTAACTTGCCATCATTTAATCCTCTAAGGAGCATTAGTGTCCCCAGGTGTAAACTGACTGGAATACATGAGCTCTAGGGTCCCTTTCAAAAATAAAACTCTATGATTCTAAGCCTTTAACCCAATATGGAAAGAAGGTTCTGTATATAAATGATGTTTATTCATTTATTCATTTATTTTGTTCATTCCCCCTAATTGCTCCCTCTGCCTTATAAGTACTATATTTATAACAGCCTCCCTAATGCTATTTTCATTTCAAACAGCAAGAAATTGTTAAAGGAAAGAAGTTTTGTGGTCTTGATTTTACTACTGATTTCAGAGAAATGTTGAGTGAATTATTCTTCTTTACTAAATGGAGATGAAAATCTTCAACTACAGTTATTCAAGAGGAAATAGAACTATTAAGACCCAGCGTGGGGCCTTCCCTGGTGGTGCAGAGGTTAAGAATCTGCCTGCCAATGCAGGGGACACGGGTTTGATCCCTGGTCTAGGAAGATCCCACGTGCCGCGGAGCAACTAAGCCCGTGAGCCACAACTACTGAGCCTGCGCTCTAGAGCCCGCAAGCCACAACTACTGAGCCCATGAGCCACAACTACTGAAGCCCGTGTGCCTAGAACCCGTGCTCTGCAATGAGAGAAGCCAACGCAATGAGAAGCCCGTGCACCGCAACAAAGAGTAGCCCCCACTCACTGCAACTAGAGAAAGCCTGCACACAGCAACAAAGACTCAACACAGCCAAAAATAAATTAATTAATTAAAATTAAAAAAAAAAAGACCCAGTGTGCCCCCAACATCTTCCCTGTCCCCATCTTAGGATGAAAATTTCTAGGAAAAAAGGATGAAAAGGAAAATGTCATAAAATTGAGTAAAAGAGAATCATTTATTTCACTGTACATTATTCGTATTTTGCAAAAGGAGCCTATGACGAGGATGAGGAGCTTGCTTTCTAAAGGATAATGTGCAAATCCCATACGGCACTGGGCTGTGATGTTCAAGGTGTGGGATGCTCGTGATCACTGGAGACCCAGACATTCCTTTCTTGACATCACAGTAAAGGGCTCTGATATAGAGACATAATCTTTTTTTTTTTTACATCCTTATTGGAGTATAATTGCTTTACAATGGTGTGCTAGTTTCTGCTTTATATCAAAGTGAATCAGTTATACATATACATATGTTCCCATATCTCTTCCCTCTTGCGTCTCCCTCCCTCCCACCCTCCCTATCCCACCCCTCTAGGTGGTCACAAAGCACCGAGCTGATCTCCCTGTGCTGTGCGGCCGCTTCCCACTAGCTATCTACCTTACATTTGGTAGTGTATATATGTCCATGCCTCCAGAGCCATAATCTTGAGGCAGGTTTAAAAGCTACAAATTTTCTAGGCCACATATTCAATATTTTACCTATATTTTCTTCCTGTAACTGCAAACCCTTTGTCACCATTCTTCAGCCCTACATTCCATTTTAATCTTTCAAGTTGGGATGCCCTCATTTGTAGCTGTTGAAAATTAGTTCTCTCTTTAACAAATTTTCTAAATCCAAATTCTTGCAGAGAAACTAAATAATATAGCGTGAAGTAGCTAAGTATAACTATTGTCTTTAAAAACATTTTTTTCCTAAATTTTTTAAAAAAGTATAACTGCTGTCTTTATCTTTTTTTGTTCATCCTAGCAAACAGGGTAAATTCCTTATAACTGCATATTAAAAAGTAGTATCTGTAGTCATTCCAAATTTTTAATATCACTCCTACTAACACAACTCAAACCTGCGTTGTAGAAAAAACAGTAGAGCTAGTTTTTGAACGAGACTATAGCAAGGTCATAAAATAGTTCATTCAACTTGACGTATTCCAGAGTTATGTTATTATATGGTCTAGGCCTAGGAGAAATGGGATTTCCTGATGCGTTCGTAATCAAGACTCTGGGATCTTCTAACATTAGGGACTAAGAATGGCCTAAACTACTGCCAAATACCAAGAATTTGTTGTTATGATCAAAAACAGTCAAAATAATGGTAGAAAGCAAAGCCCTGTTGTTTTCTGAACCGAAATCAGAAACTGGCTATACAGATTATATTTTCGCAATATTAACACAAGTGGGATCCACCACTATATCTGTAGCTTAAATTCTTTCAAAATCTTAATATTTGCTTAAAATCTTTACTACTCTCTTTTGGCATAAGCATCTGTTTTCTCCTGTCTGTGTTATTTCAGAAAACATTTCCAGTTCTCTTTCCATAGGTCACCCAGCCCAGGAGGCTCTTAACTTCCCCAGCATCTCTTATTTTCTTAATCCCAAGAACAGAAGTCATGCTGCACTAGAGGGCAGCCCTGCGGGCAAGGGGTCACAGCATACTCTTCTGAAGTGTCACACACAGCACTGCACACCAGGCACAATTACCTCTGGACTGATCAGTGCGAAAACCACTTGCACCACGGGTGCACCAAGCCAGTCCTATAAGCCATCTGTGTTTGGGTGACATGTAAGGCTTGACAAAGGAAAAAAAACAGGAATAAAGAATGCTGACTTGGGTTTTTATTAAGAAAGGTTTGTTTCTGCATGCCCAAAGTAATTTCTCTCCGTTTATTGAGACTTATTTTCTCCATTTAATGGGAATACTTACAAAAATGTAAGTTTCCTAAAATCATATTAATACACAAATAATTCTCTAATTACAAATCCTAAAATACTCAAATTCTCACACAAAAAGGTCTGTTTTCTTTGGCATGAGCATGTCTACTTTGTATACGTAGTCCACTTTTGAAAGGATATCCTTTCACAGATCTTCCTTTTCCAAGAATTTATATTATTGAATTTCTTTTTCTAAACTAAAGCTGTGTGATATGCTTGACAGAAACAAGCAGAAAAATGCTTTCAAGATTATATTTAAGTTTATAGTTCATATCTGGAAAAATGTAAAAACTTATAGCTAAACAGGTTGGACTAAGTACAGAAAACGAAATGCGGGCAAAGGAATAATGAAACTCATTCATGCTTGAGCATAGTGAATCCTGTATTTTAGAAAGAGCTTAAATAAGCTCAGCATTGTGGGAAAAGGAGTAACTTATACTTCCAGTATAAGGAGCAATAGATACAAGTCAATTAACTGGGAGAAAAGAAACTTTAGGAAATGAAGTGCCATTGCCAGCTACTTGGAGGCAACGATCCAATGGTAGGTTAAAAATGCAGGTTTATGGAATAAAGTAGCTTCCTCTATAGCTAGACTTTACTCAAAATGTCTACCTTACTGAATTTTTACTTTTCCTAGATCTCTCACTAACATCCAGAAAAGTATTTTCCTACTATTACTGGTTGAGAGATCCTAGACTTTCTGACATGTGCTGTATCAATCAATTTTTTGAGCCTGTTTCTTAATGAGAGAATATAGTAAGAACGCTATGGCCTTACCTCCATGATGGGGTTGGATGCCAACACCTTTTCCTCAACATTGGCTTCACTGGCGGAACCACTTACAGTTGCAAAGTATCGCATGGCATACTTAGCTGAAACTGTTTTTCCTGCCCCAGACTCTCCACTTACAATGATGGACTGATTTCGTTCATCTCTGTAAAACAAAGAAGAGTAACTGACAGTGCTGCTCACTTTTGAATGTGATTAACATGATTTTCTCTGTATTCTCATCAATGAGCCATGGAGAGTTCCTGCTGGTTCACACATGCAAAAATGTGGGAAGGAACCTAAGAATGACATTTCCTAATAAAAACAACTACTTATAAATTAACAATGAACAGAGAGGGAGAAGAAATATCAGGCATTAAATTAGAGAGCATCACATCTAAGGATGAATAATCTCTGAATTTTTTGTGTGTACATATCTCAAACACACTTTATTCCTAGCGAATTAATTTGGTCTATTAGAGTACTGTTGTCAACCACCTTTAGAAGAGACAGGAGTTACAGCAAACAAATTTAGAAGAAAATACTACTTAATTGAAAAAAAAATTATCTACTAGCTAACTGTCTGTAGTGTCTCCCACAAACTCTAGCTCTTACTAAAGTACCCTCATTACCAGAGAAGAAATGGTTCATTTGTTGGCTGATTCATTCAAATATGTTAGAACTCAAAGACTACCAACTGGACTTCCCTGGTGGCGCAGTGGTTAAGAATCCGCCTGCCAATGCCGGGGACACGGGTTCGAGCCCTGGTCTGGGAAGATCCCACATGCCGTGGAGCAACGAAGCCCATGCACCAAAACTACTAAGCCTGCTCTCTAGAGCCCGTGAACCACAACTACTCAGCCCACAAGCCACAACTACTGACGCCCACATGCCTAGAGCCCGTGCTCTGCGACAAGAGAAGCCACTGCAATGAGAAGCCCGCGCATCGAAGAGTAGCCCCACTCGCTGCAACTAGAGAAAGGCTGCATGCAGCAATGAAGACCCAATGCAGCTAAAAAAATTAATTAATTAATTAAAAAAACAAAGACTATCTACTATTACATCTTTAATTCATTCATACAATGACTCAAAAGTCTAGGTGAAGAACTTGCTCATAAGACTATCATTTCTTTGAGGATGAGGACCTATGTCACCATATCATTAATATCCAGCAACTAGTCCAGAGTCTGACACATCACAAGTGCTCAGTAAATGTGTATTGATTATAAGTAAATAAAACTTTAATAACCAACCTAGCCTAGGAATAAATCTGCTTTGGCCACGATTTCGACTGGGAAAGAAGCAGGAGACTTCCACTTCCTGAGATGAAACCAGCAGTCAGCTTCAATCCATCAAATTAACTGAACAAGTACATAAAGGTAGTAACTTTTTTTTTTTTTTTTTGTGGTACGCGGGCCCCTTTCACTGTTGTGGCCTCTCCCGTTGCACACGCTCCATTCGCGCAGGCTCAGCGGCAATGGCTCACGGGCCCAGCCGCTCTGCGGCATGTGGGATCCTCCCGGACCGGGGCACGAACCCGTGTCCCCTGCATCTGCAGGCAGACTCTCAACTACTGCGCCACCAGGGAAGCCCGGTAGTAACAATTTTGCCCTCAATTTATGGAGAGACAAAATGAGTTCAAAGGTTTTTAGGCCACAAGATTATGAGGTTATTTCACTATAGAAGACGATCTTTTTATCTTTTAAAAGAAATGTATTTATCCAACAAACATTTAGCAAACACCTACTATGTGCCAAACATTGTGCTAAATACTAGGGATACAAGTTTAAAAAGCCATGATCTGCATCCTCAAGTGGTTGAGGGTCTAAGAGGAAAGACAAACTAATAATTAAAGATTATAATACATGGGATGGGGTACTGAGAGAAGGAAGAGGTGATCAGGGAAGGCACCCTGGAGATGATACCTCAGCAAAGTCTAGAAAGATGAGTAAGAGAAAGCAAGCAAGGGAAAAGTAAGTTAAGAAGGAAACATTCCAGGGAAAGGAGATAACATAAATGAAGGCTCAGATGCATGAGAAATTAGGAAACATCAGATAATTTAATTTGACTAGAACATGAAGTAATGACAGATAAGGTTGCAGAGGTTAATGAGAAATGGATCATAAAGATCTTAAATGAGATGTTAAGGAATCTGAAGTTTACCTAAAGGTCACTGAGTGTTACTGCAGGGTTTTAAACAGAAAATAAACAATCTAATTAGTAAAAACGCTCTGGCAGCAATGTGGATATGGGTGGCAGAGATCCAGATGAAAAGATATGAAAGTCTGAACAAAGACTATGGTGGCCATGACTGAGACAGGCAGATGGGTTTAAGAGACACCAAAGTGACAGAACCAAAAGTACCTGCAATAAGTTTCCAAAGTAGAAAGACTTTTCTACGGTAAAGGTTGTTTTTTCGTTGAGAAAGGGTGGTCACTGTATTATTTTACAAACTGAAAAATACAATAGGAGTACCCAACTCAGGCCTGATTAAGTACATTCACATCACACTACCAGCACCTGTAAGCAGCCTGTTCAGATACTCTGACTCCCATACTGTGGGGAAAATCAGGAGGACCTAGGTGACACAAGGAATGTTTAATACTTATAGTAAAGGCTTGCATGTAACCCTCATTTTTATAAAACATTCTTGAACCTCATACTATCTCATTCCCTTTTTATTTGAACTTCTAGACTCAACTGGATATTCCCACTGCCTCTGTTCATACACGCCTGATTTCAAGATAAATCACTCAAAAACAAAAACAAAAAACCCAAACAGTTCTCATTGTGGGGCCAATGTCCCTTATTTTTGTCATTTAGAATATTTTAATGTTCTCAGAGTTGATGTCTTTGATACATTAATCAAGGACAGTACCATCATTCTTTGGATTCCCTTCCAAAATATAACTAGAAAAATGATCTCTTCCTAATTCCTGCATGATCAGTTCTGTCACTACACCCTGTGTGATAGCTACCTTGACAAAATTCTCCCAGCATTCCTTCCAATAACAAACAAGGTGAAGAGACTTCCACTAGTCTGACAAAAAGGAATTATTAGTGGGAACTGCTATCCTAAACTGTACTGCCTTTGAAATACTATTTCAAGTCTTTATGACAAAATGTTACGTCAAAAAAACTGAAGCATTCATTATGTAGTAGCCCTTTCCTATACCATGGGGAAGAAGAGAACTGTTAAAGGAGATAAGGTTGAGGATTATTCAAATGAATCACACAGATTTGTACAAATACACACATATACACATTGATGTCAAGCACATACCAGATACATTTTCTCTTCCAGGATTTACGATCCTGGATCCATATGACCAACAATTTTTAAGGGACTTTATTATTTATTACACTTCCCTGACTTTGGCAGAGGCTTCCCTTCTTCTTGAAGCCTAGTAGAGCATTCCAATATATAAGTAAGTATGACTTTTCCATTACATAAATTTCTCTGACGGGCTCTGGTCTTCGACCTGTCATTTACCAATTTCATGACTGAGCAATTGCATGCCCTCTCTGGGTCACAGTTTCCCTCATTTTTAAGATTAAATAGCATCTAAAGTCTTTCTCAATTCTAAAGTACTATAACGTAAAAGTTAAACTAACTCCAGAGTTGATTTTTCAGATGTTGGATGGGCCATAGCCTGCAGTCTAAGCCAGGTAAACTCAAGTACAATTGGAATAGGACACGCTTACAGATGCTCAGATGGGCTTGAAGGGCTGTACTTGAAATGGGCAAACATTTCTTCTCCGTAGGACCCCTGAATCTGAGATGGCCAAAATCAATAAAGGGCTACAAAGAGAAAAAATGTAAATTCCATCCCCCTGCTTTTAAATTAAGAACAGGAAACAGAAATCTTTATAAAGTAAGAACAGTAGTTTTTAAAACATTTTTCAGTTATATGTGGCCACAGGAAGAAATGCCAAAAAGAGACAAGAGCAGAGACAGGTAGAAGTAGGGAGCCAACTAGAGACACAGAAGGGAGAAGGGTAATACATAATAAAGACATGCAAAGGGAAAAACAAGAAAAGTATAACAGAGATGCGGCGAAAATAGACAAAAACACCAGGGATAAAAAATTTTATGGTTTTAACGTGAATATCAGAGTCTACCCTACTCTATTTATTTGAGCTGTAAGCTTTAGATTGTTACATCTATGTAAATAATAATTCATTATTCTTTGAAATTTTGATTAGCTGGTCAGCCACTATTCACAATTCTTCAGGTTTCTTGTCCTTATAAGAACCTTCTTTTACTTTTGGGATGTAGATATCACTTCAAGGACCTGATAAAACCAAGTTAAGGAACAGAGATTCACCACTCTTCCTCAAGGACAGATCAATCCGGAGCATCCTAAGGATGCAGGAACTGAAAATTTATGATTTCTGGCTTGGCTAGTCCTCTCAAGGGCCCCTGCAATGATCCTAAATAGCCTGTGTACTGGGTGCCCTGAAGCAGAGGTGAACTCTTGCGGCCTGTTTCAGTCAATGTTGCTTCCAGAGGCTATAATGTGAACGAAAAGCCACTACGTAAATATACTGCTTCATTCATTCATGCAACAAATATGTAATGAGTAGCCACAATGTGCCAAACACTTTATGAAGATAAAAGACTCTAGGGTCATAGCCTATTGAGAGAGACTGAAAAGTACAGTTTAAATACAGTGGAGTAATTACAAGAAAAGAGGTCTATCCAGGATATTATGAAAGCATGGAGAAGGGGTATAGAACTAGTGGAAGATGTGAGGAAGAGCTGTCAGGAAATGCTTTCTAGAGAAGGTGATGCCTGAATTGACCCTTATACGATAATTAGGAGAAAACTAGGTTGTATGGGGAAAAGGCAATAGGAATTAAACTATGGAGAGGTACCTGAAACCCCAGGAAATAAATTATTCAAGGATAGACTATCCACTCTGGGTTGATGAAAGAGAGAGATGTTACACTTGAGTCTATATTCCTTCTACCTATATATTTGGTTTGTCCAGCCTTTCCTTAGATTATACCTAGTAAGATTCATTTCATATCAGTTATATTATTTTATACATTTTCCTTCTGAACTTTACCCTTTAAAAATGTAATCTCTCTAGGTTATGGTGCTCATATTTTCCAAGACCATCATCTTGTCCTCTGCAAACTTAATGAGCATACTTTCCATTCACATCCAGGTTGTTAATGAGGAAACTAAGTAATGCCAGCCTCAGACCTGACTCATGCAGGACCCACTTTACTATATCCACACACCTCAATGTTGACTCTCTCATAACCATCCACTGGGTGTTGCCATGTACCTTGGTTAAGTGTACAAGCACCTAGGTCTAATTTTTAGCTTATGAGTGAACATGTTCTCATGAAACAAAATCTAGAGTTTTATTTTCTTGCAGGCACTCAATCTAATTGCTTCTCCTTTATCTGATCCCTTGCTAAAAAGGAAAATTATTAAGTTAGTGTAATATAATGCTTTCTTCCAACATTGTGTATTTACTGTGATGTGGCTTTCACTTGAGACTCTAATCCTCATTTCTCTTGTTAGAGAGGTGCTAAGTTTTTCTACATTTTTATCACTTGTCAAACCTCAAGCTGCTCAGCTCTGTTTTTCCAAGATTTCTGCTCTTGATCAAAATCCCAAGAAGAAAAGATTTACACGCTAAAGTGGATACTAGACAATGAGCTCACAAGACAAGGTGCAGTATCAGTTTTTAAGTATAAATATTTACCATAAGACTGTGCTGGCACACTGATGAAAGCTGTGCTAGAGAGGTAGAGAGATTATTCAGGAAATGAAAATAAGCATTTCCTGGAGATACACCAAATTCCTGCTGAGAAGTCTGTTACATGACTATCAGATCTTCTCATGTCAATCTGACTTTTCTGTTCCATCAGTATAGAGCCTATGAAATTAATATAAAGATTCCATAACAAAAATAGCCAATTGTTTCTAGTTATACATATTTTTTTAATATTCTTTTCCATTATGGTTTATCATAGGGTATTGAATATAGTGCCCTGTGCTATACAGTAGGACCCTGTTGTTTATCTATCCGATATGTAAAAGCTTACAGCTGCTAACCTCAACCTCCCACTCACTCCCTCCCCCAACCCCCTCCCCCTTGGCAACCACCAGTCTGTTCTCTATGATTCTGTTTCTGTTTCATAGATAAGTTCATTTGTGTCGTATTTTAGATTCCACATATAAGTGACATCATATGGTATTTGTCTTTCTCTCAGAAATAGCCAATTTTATTTGTTTGTAACTTTTATAGACTCATATACTTACTGTACTTTATTCCTACTACAAACTTACTGGGTAGATAGTTCTCAATAAGTCCCAAATTCATATAGTAAAGAATTCTGAAGAGGAATCATTTATCAGGAACTGAGGTGGTCTTAAAGTAAAAATTGAGTGGGATCATGAAGAATAAATAGAAACCAGGCAGATAACAGAGCATGGAGAAGGATACTCTAGGCTGAATAAAAGGTACAGAAATAAAAGTATGCAACATTAGTTAATCTGAGGGAATAGATTAATATTGTGATAATACTGTGTTAGAATAGGGTCATACAGTTGGAAGTAAGAAAATTAAACAACAAAGAAGAAAGGCTCTGTAGCCTCAGAGCTTGATTCATATCTCAGCTCCCAGATACTATTTATTAGCACGATAGTCTGAAAGTTACTTTCCTCAGTCTCCTCATTTGTAAAGCAGAGGTGATGATGTCTGCTCCCAGGGGTGTAATGAAGATTAGAGGTAACATGCCTGACATCATGCTTGGCACAAAGTATACCTCTAAACATGGTAGCTGCTAACTAATAGAAGTTAATTCACCTTTATAAATCATACATAAAATTCCTTATCAGGTAGCATGTCTACTTGCCTAAGTAGGAATACTTGGTACCACATGGCAGGTGAGTCACAATTGGCAACAGGAGAGATTTTATAATCTGTAACAGCCAGCATCCACTTGGCCAATGGACCTTAGAAGTGTGAAGCATTCAGAGTCTGCCTAAACAAATGCAAGAAGGGGCCACTCTAAGGAAAGGCCTAGCAAGAGAGTCAGGAAGAATAAAACCCGATGAGAGGCTAAAATGAACAGAAAGAGAATGCAGACATGAGACTCCATGATGATGAAGACCGTGATGACAGTAACAGCTTATATTTAAATAGTGTTTTTCAAAGTGCTTTTCATGTTTATCATCTAATGTAATTTTCACCTCTGAAGTAAGCATGATAAATATTATCTTTTCTTCATTGGGGGAAACAATAACACAGAAAGGTCAGATGGCTTATCCAAGTTTAGAGTAGAGTTGGGTTGTTATACTCCACATCTCTTAGCTTCCAGAGGAAAAGTCTATACTATGCTCCTTCTGCTTTGCTACAAGCTCCTTATCATAGCCTGCCCTCCACTAGAAAGAGTAAAAGACTTATGCATTAGTGCCCATGAAACTGAAAGGTAACAAGTGTGTACAACAGAATGCCTTAAATGTAAAGCTAGACCATCTAGTGCAAGTGTTCTATTTTATAGGTGATAAAACTGAGGCCCTGGGAGACCAGAAGATTTAAGCTTATATAGTTATTTACTGATGGAGCTGTGACTAGTATAGATATCTTTTCCATTACACTAAGGTTATGACTATAACTCTCTAATTTATTTCAAGAAAACTCATAAATGAAACTTAATCGATCAAATTTATTTGCTCTACCATTAACAAGGGAGGAAAAAAATACCAAATCAAAGCAATCAATATTACTTGGTTTTAAGGAAACAAAAAGAAAAAAAAAAACCCTGATGTTTTAAGGAATATAATATTGTGATTTAGTTATCAGAGAGCAGTGAGTTTCAGCATGAGAAAAGACTGGCAAGAATGTGAGGCAAGTTTATTCCTAGATATTTTATTCATAAAGACATACATATCACCTTTTTCCCCAAGATGTGGACAAAACCATCTCATTATCTAGGCCTTTGCTCCACTGTGTATCTGGGTCACGTTGTATATTTTGCTGCCACAGCTTCATTAAAAGCAATTCGGAAGAGCAATAAATAAATACAAAAATGTATATGCACAAGGTTATTTACTGTAGCACTGTTTGCAATTGCAAAATGTTGAAAACAATCTAAGTGATCATATATGGGAGAGTGGTTGAATAAATTCATAAAGTGGTGGGGAAGAAAGGAACCAACCTAAGTAACTTTGGAAACTGGCACTTTATATTACATAAGGCTAAAGACAAAATGAATTGGACGCAAATGTACTTGAGTGGTATATTTGCTTTTCACAGGGATATGGGTTAGCATTTCTGATACAAAGAGTATTCCAGGATTGAGCAAACAAGTAAATAAACTATGGATAATGAGAGCCAGGGTTTTCAAGGTCAAAAAAAAAGTTAAAAGAAGGAAAAAGAAATCAAGAATAAAAATTGTGGTGTTGAACTGGATTTGGAGGTATCAGTGTGAACTTATGGTTTTTAATATATATATTAAATATACAAATAGGTATGTGCGTGTGTATGTGTGTAAAAAAGTGCAAAGTCTTTCCTACTTAGAGAAAGGTAAATTAAAACAACACTAGGGGCTTCCCTGGTGGCGCAGTGGTTGAGAGTCCACCTGCCGATGCAGGGGACACGGGTTCGTGCCCTGGTCCGGGAAGATCCCACATGCCACGGAGTGGCTAGGCCCGTGAGTCATGGCCGCTGAGCCTGTGCGTCTGGAGCCTGTGCTCCACAACGGAAGAGGCCACAACAGTGAGAGGCCCGCGTACCGCAAAAGAAAAAAAAACAACACTAGGATACCATTTCTCACTTGTCAGACTATTTTTCTACACATGCACAGTTTTGCATTACATTATATTATCAAGAGTATAATCTAGTCTTGAAAATAGCTTTTTTTCTCCCATTCTCCACTCTCAAAATAGTAGGGTTCCCCGATTAACATCAAAGACATTTCCCTGATGCTGTTCAGGATCCCTGACGCTCCAGCATCTGCTAACCTTAAAATTCACACTTTCCTTGAGATTTAATTCTACCAGATACAGACAGATTTCTTTCAGCACTTAGGCCTTTTAGCTCTGGTCTGCCACTCACTAGATGAATGACATTGGGCAAGTCACTTAATACCTACAAACCTTGATCCACTCATCTGTAAAACATAACATCTGTCCTTGCATGGTCACAGAATTACAATGAGATTCCAAAGGCAGCTTTTATAAACTATATGTCCTTTTACAAATGTTAGGTTATTTTAATAATAATGCAGGCCAGGGACTTCCCTGGCAGTCCAGTGGTTAAGACTCCGCACCTCCACTGCAAGGGGCATGGGTTAGATCCCTGGTCAGGGAACTAAGATCCCATATGCCGCACGGCACGGCCAAAAAAAAAAATTCAGGCCATCTGAGACAAATCAATCAAGGCTGTTTAATTAATAATTTACTAGTTGTTATTCACTGTATTTTAAAATATCTGTGACTCAGCAAAGAAGAAATTATCACATCTAATAAAAGTCATGAAATAATAAATAGAGCTTCCACCAACCTGGCCATTTGCTTGTAAGCTTCTTCAGCTACTGCAAAGATATGTGGATCCATATCACCCATGTTCTGACCACTATATGCATTAATAATATCTTCTCCATAAATAGGCAGCTGTTCATAAGGATTTATAGCTACTAGGACTATACCTGGGGAGAAAGGTAAACAAAAGCAAAAGAAGAAGTCAATAATACCCTCATGGGCATATCAAACTTGGTAAAGTGAGAATCATAGTTAATACTAATTCAATTTCAGTTAATATTGAACTAACAAATTGTTAAGGGTCAAAATATATCATAGCCTTTGCCTCTGAACCCATTATACCTAGTCCTAACTAAAACACCATTTACGAACTAGACTAGGTGATTTAAAATAATAAAAACGGTGGCAATGTTGAAAGGACTTTAAATATTTTTGTAATATTTAAACCAAAAATTCCACTTCTAGAAATTTATCCAAATGAAATAATCATAGATTCACATAAAGGTTGTTTTTTTGAAATAAAGATGTTTATCATAATGTTATTCATAACAGTGAAAAGTGGAAACAAAGTATATAATAAAGGGAGAGTGGTTATGTACAGCACAGGGAACTATATTCAATATCCTGTGATAAACCTTAATGCAAAAGGATGAAAAAACATATATATATGTACAACTGAGTCACTTCGCTGTATAGCAAAAACTAAACACAACATTGTGAATCAACTATACTTCAATAAATTTTTTTTAAAAAGGGAGAGTGGTTTAATACGTATTATTATATCCATGTAACAGACTATTGAGCTACCACCACAAATCATGTCTATAAAAAATATCGTGTCATAGGAAAACATGACACAAAACTATATATAGACCGATTCCAATTTTATATCTATTTATACTCTCTCACATATACACACAGGATATAAGACAACATAATACTGGTTATTTTTCAGTGGTAAATTACATGTAATTCTTTTTCATTTTTTATACTTTTTTTGGTATTTCCTTACATTTTACAGCAAGTATATATTAACTTAATAAAGTCATTCATTCAACAAATATTTGACTACAGCTAGCTTTCAAGTCATTACTAAGTGCTATATTTATAACAGTAAACAAACAAAAAGACAAATCTAAATGGAGTATAACGCTTAAAAATTGTGGGGACTTCCCTGGTGGCGCAGTGGTTAAGAATCCACCTGCGAATGCAGGGGACACGGGTTCCATCCCTGGTCCGGAAGGATCCCACATGCCGTGGAGCAACTAAGCCTATGGGCCACAACTACTGAGCCTGTAAGCCACAACAACTGAGCCCACGGGCCACAACTACTGAAGCCCTTGTGCCTCGAGTCTGTGTTCTGCAAGAAGAGAAGCCACCACAATGAGAAGCCCGCACACCACAACAAAGAGTAGCCCCTGTTCGCCACAACTGGAGAAAGCCCATGTCAGCAACAAAGACCCAACGCAGCCAAAAAAAGCAAAACAAAACAAAAAGTGTATCACTGTACTGTATACCTGTAAATTATATAACATTGTACATCAATTATATTTCAATAAAAAATTTTTTAACAAAAGGAAAAAATTTTGCCCTTATGAACCTTATATTCTAGAGGGAAATTCAGACAATAAAGTAAGAAAAATATGTATCATAAGTTAGACAGTAGTAAGGAAAAGGGGGGAAAATTAAACAGAGAAGGAAGATAGACAACTAGGAGAAGAAAAGATAGGGCGGACAGGAAAGGCTTCACTGAGAAGGTAGCACATGTGCAAGAAAAAAATAAATTGAAGAAAAATGAAAATTCAGAAAAATAAATATTCAGTCAATAGGTAGGGAAGAAAAAGAGCAAATATCAAGGATATAAAAGGTATAAATTCTTTTAAGAAGAAAAGATACCTGTTCCTTTCCAAAACAGGAGCGTAATGAAGAAATGCTGAGTGCTGAGTTGGGTACACCAAGCAAATAGATTTAGAAGGAAATGAATGGAAATCCCAGACCTGGGTCTCAGCAGAGAATGATTAGTGAAAGAAGGATAAGAAGTCAGTAGAGAAAAAAGAGCTGGGGACATGGGAGAAAATAAGAATTGTCCCCATGCACAATATTTCCATGGTCCTGTCCATTAGAGAAAAGAATTCACAGTCTTCACTCAGACAGCAACGCACACTCACCACAATATGTATAAATAAGTTTGGAATCAATAAAGCGGACTCTGAGATTGTGGAGTACAGCAGGCTCGTGAAGATAGCTGAGGGCTGTGAGGTCATTTTCACCCACAAGTATGTCAGGGTTTCTTAAGTGAGGCAGCTCCTTCGTCTTTGGATCTAGACGATATTCCAAATCCTGAAAATGCACAAGATATAGCATCTGGATAAATAATGACAATAAACCCCAAACAGGCACATACATTTTGCTTATTTCCTATTCCTGATTTGCTTCTCAGCTATCAAATACATTCTTTTCCTGGCACCTTCCAAAACCACAGAAACTGGTGGAAATGGCAAAAAAAATAAGGAGAGTCTTTGTTTTCACTAGATGTATTAACTCATATTAACAATTTTTGATAATACACTTTGAAAAGTCAAAGCCTAGAATTTTTTTTACCTAGTTACTAGACCAGAGTTTTTAATCTTTAGTTAAATAAGCTTTTTTTTTTTCCTCTTCACCTATTATAAGTGACAGACAGCATAAGAGAGTGGTAAGAGCTTGGCTCTAGAGCCAGATCAACCCAGGTTCAAATCCTAAAACTGGTACTTACTCCTTTTGTGGTCTTGGGTATATTATTTAACTTAAATCTTTCGTTTGTAAAATGGGCATAATGGAAATAGCTCATAGGGGTGTGGTAAAAATTAAGTGAGACAGTGCCTGGTATGTGCTACGTACTTGGGAACTCCTGAACCCTGAGAGGTCCAAGAATCCCCTAAAATTAGGTGTTAACACTTTGTGTGTATGAACATATGTATAAATATATACATATATGTGTATTTTTAAAAAAACACAGTCCATAGTTTTTATTCAACTTTTAATGAGGTGCTTGGGCCCCCAAATTAAGAAGTACTACTTACTTTAAAGCCAAGGGAATATGGCTTTATGGCAAAGCCAAGCATGGAGATTGTTACTCAACTACATATTAAGAACAAACAACACACGACACATGAAAAGGAAAAAAAAATGGCAATATAATTGCAGAGAGGGACAAGCTGATTTTGTAAAAAGACTTTTGTTAATACTTTTGTTAATACTAAAGAGATATATAGAGGTCAAATGTTCAAATCAGGTTGGAATGACTGCAAAATGGGGAGGAAATTTTTACAATCTCGCTGCCTGTTTATTAGGGTATAATAATAAAACTTTTCCAAAGCAGACTGGTCCTTGCATTGGCCCCTACCATACAAAAAAGCCACTTCTGGCTGTGTGATCTCAGGTAGACTACTTAATGTCTTGGTTTCCTTATTTGGAAAACGGTTATAATACCACCTGTGAACCCACAGGATTGCTGTGAGAATTAACATAAGAAAATATAGGGACTCCCCTGGTGGCCCAGTGGTTAAGACTCCGCCCTTCCACTGCAGGGGGCACGGGTTCAATCCCTGGTTGGGGAACTAAGATCCCACATGCACGGCCAAAAAAGAAGAAGAAAATATAGCCTAAGGTACCTAACATCACGCCTCACAGAGTGGATGATCAATGAATGTTGAATAAATTAATTCCTTAGTTAGCAGTCAAGGCCCTCAATTCTTCCCTGCCTTCTTTCTGAATAATCTCCTTGTCTCTGTTTTGCTCTCCTAAAATTCATCCTCCATACTGCCAACAGTGAGTCCTTTCTAAAACACAAACCTGGCACCCTTCTTCTGTTTAAAAACACTAAAATCACTCCCCATAGCACACCAGTTGAAGTCCAAGAGTTTCAGCATGAACAACAGGCCCTCTGTGATCTGGTTCCCACCTCCATCCTCTTGCCAGTCCTGTACCCTCACTTCACATCCCAACAACATGGAACTTGTGCAGTTCCCCAAACACACATCACTGTACAAGCCTCCCTGCCTTTGTCCATGCTTTTCTAGATCCCTGAAATGCACTCCTCCTTGTCTACTCATTCTTTAGACAATGCCTCTCTGACCCTTAACCTTCACCAGTCCCTCTGGCCACTACCCACTCTGTTCTATTTTTGTTTCTTGTTTATATTTATTATATCATGTGTCACACTATTCATAAGTATATGTACTTTTCCTACCTGACATTACTGTCAGAAAGCATATCTTTTGCCACCTCTTAACATGGTATATAGCAGGTACCTTAACACACAAGCCTTGAATTAGTACACACACATTTCTAAATCTCTGCTCCAGTCAACTTGTGATATTCAGTATCTCCAAAATATATTCCAGTCCTCACAAAGTCTACTCCCTTCTCTTTGTTAATCCAAATTCTATCTAGTCAAAATTCTTCCTTCTCTTTGAAGCCTTCCTTGAAGCAGCCCACAGTGATACTTCCCTCTATTGGGATCCTAAAGTCCTCACTGTCTTTACAGTACAGCAGAGTGGTAATGAGCACAGACCAGAAAGGCAATCTCCTGGCTTTAACTCCCAGCTTCATCCCTTAATGCGTGTATAACCCGGAACAAGTCCCAAACTCTCTGAGCCTCAGGTTCTTCATCCATAAAGTGGTAAAGATAATAGCCCAACCTCACAGGACTGTTATGAGGATTAAGTGAGTTACAGCATATAAAGCACTTAGAACTATGCCTGTACATAGTAAGTGCTCAATATATATTAACAGTCAGGACAGCATTATTCACTCGGCAGTTAATCATAAGCTTATCTTTTGACATCTTAATATTGCTGTGTTGAACTACTTTTTATATCCTATGTTTTCCTGGCTAGATTATAACTTGTTTAGAGGAAATTAACGTCATAAAGGTTTTTAAGAAAAAAGTGTGACATGCCCTGTTAAATGCAGTGGAGAGATTAAAAAGGGTAGAACTAAGACTCCACTCATGCAGTGAATGCTGATGGGAAAGAGATACAACTGGTTTTAAGTTTTTCTGGCCACTAGCAAAGTATTTTATATAACAGCTTCTAAGCAAATATTTTTCAAATATCTAGTTCCAGCAAATATCATATCTCAAACTGGCTCCTTAAATGTTGCTTTCTTAATGTGAATAATTTTAATAGTATCCTAAACAAAATACAGATAAACAGGAATATCTTTGGGAGGATTAGATGTGAATCTAAACCAGGTCATAATAAATTCATAAATCAAAATAATGGATGTTTAAAAGTACCTGCTATTTTCACTAAGCCATTGGGATAGAAAATTGAGTTTGCCATTTTGCTATTTTTGATAATTAAGTAAGTGAAAATATTATATTAATTCCAAATTTAACTTCCAAGTGAAGTTAAATATGTCACAGCAAATTTACACTTTTGAATTTCCTTCACTTTATGCCAATAACAACAAATAAAAGCAAAATTCTTACCCTTCCATCCTCAAGGTGAAGCAGGAGGACTTTATCTCCTGGCTTATAATCTTTGAGCAGCTCTGCTGACTTCCAAACTTCCTCGGGATCAGGTATCCAAACCCTGGCAAACTAGAAGACAAAAAGAAAAAAAAATTTTAAACCAGCAAATCAAGCATTCTTGACCTGCGCTAAACATGAGGAGATTTTCAACTAAATCTGGAAAGAAGCACCTTTGTGTTTTGTCAACAGCAAGCTCCAGCTCAGATTTCCACAAGTATTTTGGAAACAGTAATGAGTAGGTAGTTTGCCAAAGGTTAGATTTCCAAGAGCTAGGTGTTAACAACACTTACAGATAGTAGACAGAGGCTAAGGCCCTTACACTCACCAGAGACAAGATATTTAAATGGCAAACATCACTCTGACAACCAACTTCCCCTTTATCCTATCTCTATCTCTGGGGAAGGTATCCAAAGAGAAACAGGTCAGAAGTCAGTCTATTATTACCACTGTCTTTTTATGATTCTTTTCCATCTTAACCAATGAGATCGGTAGCTCTGCAGAAACAACTATACCAGAACTGGGTCAGTCTGGAAGGTATATATAACTTAGATGTTGAGACGGAGAGCAAGCTCAACTTGCCAATGCCCCTTCCTATTGCCTCTATCACCTCCAACCCTACTTTCCACTCTCCCCTTAGACCCCCAGTGAAAATACACATGGCAGCCCTGAGGAAGAGGACTAAGCTTGTTCAGCCACATCCAGTGTGAAGACTGGGAAGGAAGACAGGAAGGCAAGGTCCTAAGATCCCATGAGAAACCTAGAAATGGGATGTGGCAGCAAGAGTCAGGGAGGAATTAGAAATAGGGCTGGACACACCTACCCGCTGAGTCTGCTCAGGTACCTGGTGAAACAGAAGCAGTTAGCGACAGATAACCCAAGCCAAAGTGAACCAGCCGACAGAGCTCCCAGCAAGACAAGGGAGGGTCCAGTGTCACATAACAGCTCTGTCACCAGCTGTCTCCACTAGCTAATAGAGGGTGTGACTTTCCTGCAATGCTCCCCATTCCCTATTTTACTCATGCTGCTCTAGTTTTACCCCTCGTTACCTTGTGAGTCCTTCAAATATCTCACTTATGATTCCTCAGACCTTATTTTAGTTATTTATGGATCTGTCCACCTCCTACACTAGGCTGCATGCTCCTTAAGCCATCTTTGAGCCCCCTAGAGGTTGGCTCAGCTCCTTGCCCACAGTTCGTGGGGCATTTGTCTTGATTTTATGTAAGACAGAGGTAGGACAAGGGAAGGAAACAAAGTCAGGAGAATGGGGATGAGAGGTAGCAAAGGCAAACATCACAGACCCACCTCAGGATTTTTCCTGAAGCCACAAAGCACAGCTGAGATGGGGTAGGAGTCAGAGACTCAGGGAAGAGATTCATGGAGTAGTAGGCAAAGAAAGGGTAAACGCTGATGTAGGAACTGTAGGAGAAGGATAAACAAGGATTTGGGATCTGAGGTACTGTGACTAAAGCCACAAAAACTGTAGGAGATGAAGAAGAGAGAAAAAGCCTTAAACTAGATACACTAAAATATAAACACACATCAAAGATTTATGACAATCCAAAGGTACCCCTAATTAGAAAGGAGAGTAAGGGCAAAAATGGAGATGGGCTAAATCTTATGGAAACAGTCAAAATCTGAGAAAAGAATGCTAGCACAGATTTAAGTTGCATAGTAGCTTTCAAGGAAAATAAAAACCATCTGTTCTTCTACAATACAATTTATGATGAGGTAATTCTGACCGAGTCTAATGGGAAAGCACTGGCAAGGTGGGTTCAGGGGACATGCCTGCACTGGTATGTGCAGAGAGGGGCACCAAACAGCACTGGTTCAGCCTAGCATGGTTTCTCAGGGGTTACACCCATCCTGTGTGCGTAAGGAGGTAGCAGGCATTTTTCTTACTGTATCCTACCACAAGGACAACACTCAAGAGGTCCTTGATTAATGCAGATGACTCACTGGAAGTTTTGCTAACTTGCATTTTGTCAGTCAAGGAACCCTAAAGTGTGGGCACCAAGAGTAATTGTTTCTGATGCCTCAGACACTTTGGGAACAAGACTGACAGCACTAACAGTAAATGACCAGTCCCTGAATCCCAAAAACTCTGACCCATGTGATTCTCTCTCCTTCCCCAAACTCCCACACACATAATTTGCTTTTCATACAGCACATGTGCACATCTTTCCTAGCTCCCCTATTAAATAATAAGCAGCTTGGCAACATGGAATCTGCTTGGTTCATTTTTGATACCCCATTGTGAATGTTCACAAAAAATGAATGCTTTATGTGACAATTCAAACAAGCCTATAATAAAAACTAAGTGTCCCTCTAGGCTATGAACTGAAGCAGAAGAAAAATCCCAAATCATCAACACCCCTTCCTCTGAACGCTGACATTAACACTGACACTCCATATGGTTACTAAGTAATTCACATAACCCTTAAGGCATATTTTTGAGGTAGAAAATTCTATGGAATTTTCTATTCCTACTATGCTAAAGCACATAATGGGCTTCCAGAAATTACACACACACACACACACACACACACACACACAAATATCTGTTGAATGAAAGAGTGATATAATGAACTCCCATATACCCACCACTTAGGTTCAGAAATAGAACATTACTCCTCAGTGGGATATATTCTTAAACATTTCATTTTCTCTCCATTTTCAATCACTACTGCCATTGCCCAGTCATGCCAAACTATGTGTTTGCAGTATCCTGAATAAGCCCTGCTGCCTTACATTTGCTTTGCCTATTTCCTCCATCTGAAACACAGCCCCTCCCCCTTTCAGATAGCAGACTCCTATGTATTCTTCACATCTGTGTTAAAGTACCTCCTTCTCTAAGAAGACTTTCCTGACTTATCATCATCATTCGGCACTCTGTTCTCAATGTCCTCATTACCTCATACAATCTTCCTCCAGAATCCTTACCCCACTAAGTGATGACTTTGCTTGCCTATCTCACTCGGTAGACTGTAGGTTCCTTGAGAGGAGGGGTGCATCTTATTCATCTCTGTCTCTTCAGCACTTAACACAGGGCTTGCCTAATAATTTCTTAATAAACTTTTGTTATATGAATGTTCCTGGCCTTAGACATTATACTCTAAGAGGGTAGATTAAAAGAAGTATGGGCCAGAGGCTCCCAGAATCTTCTAAAAGGGTCTATAATTTCCAGAAGTAGAGAAAGATGAAAGTGACATTGGAGAGGTGAGTTATACAGGAAATCTTGGTGTGACAGAAGGAAAAAGAGCCAGACATGAAAGGAGTACAGAAGTAATGAAACACCCTTTCCTCCCCACCACCGCAAACCTCCATCTCTTCATAATTCATGTATTTAGAGTGGAAGCTATACCTCACTTCCAGAACAGAGAGCCCCACTTCCAATCCCACCACAAATTCTTTACTTAGAAGGCAAAGAGGTGTTGTGACCACCACTTCTACCAGCCATCTCCTGGAGCAGCAAAGGGGAGAACAGATGGGAAGAAAGGTAGGCCAAGGGGTTAGAGCAGGGAAAGAGGGTCACACTAAAATGGCGGAAGGAGAAAAGATCGGCTGGAGTGAACACAAGGTGCATTCTGAGTAGGGCTGGAAGTAAAGAGCAAAAGTGTCCTGTGCCCCTACTGCAGCTTTTTAACAGATACAAGCATACCTCATTTTATTGTGCTTTGCTTTATTGTACTTTGCAGATATGGCTTTTTTACAAATTGAAGGTTTGTGGCAACCCTGTTTCAGGCAAGTCTACTGGTGCCATTTTCCAACAGGATTTGCTGACTTCATCTCTGTGTCACATTTTGATAATTCTCACAATATTTGAAACTTTTTCATTATTGTTATATTTGTTATGGTGATCTGTGATCTTTGATGTTACTATTGTAATTGTTTTGCGGTGCCGTGAACCGCACCCACATAAGATGACGAACCTAAATGATAACGTTCTGTGTGTTCTGACTGCTCCACCAACTACTGGCTCTTTGCCTGTCTCTTCCTCTCCTTGGGCCTCCCTATTCTCTGAGACACAACAATATTGGTATTAGGCCAATTAATAATCTTATAATGGCCTCTAAGCATTCAAGTGAAAGGAAGAGTTGCAGGCCTCTCACTTTAAGTCAAAAGCTAGAAATGATTAAGCTTAGTGAGGATGGTGCATCAAAAGCTCAGATAGGCTGAAAGCACTTACACCAAATAGTTGGCCAAGTTGTGAATGCAAAGAAAAAGTTCTTGAAGGAAATTAAAAGTGCTACTCCAATGAACACGCAAATTATAAGAAAGAAGAACAGCCTTATTGCTGATATGGAGAAAGTTTTAGAGTCTGGAAGGCAGATCAAACCAGACACATTCCCTTAAGCCAAAGCCAAATCCAGAGCAAGGCTCTAACTCTCTTCAATTACATGAAGACTGAGAGAGGTGAGGAAGCTGAAGAAAAATGTGAAGATAGCAGAGGTTGGTTTGTGAGGTTGAAGGAAAGAAGCCATCTCCATAACATGAGTGCAAGGTGAAGCAGCAAGGGCTGATGTAGAAGCTGCAGCAAGTTATCCTGAAGATCTAGCTAAGATAATGAAGGTGGCTACACTAAACAACAGATTTTCAGTGTAGACAAAACAGCCTTATTTTGGAAGAAGATGCCATCTAGAACTTTCATAGCTAAAGAAAAGTCAACGCTTGGCTTCAAAGCTTCAAAGGACAGGCTGACTCTCTTGTTAGAGGCCAGTGGAGATGGTGATTTGAAACTGAAGCCAGTGCTCACTTACCATTCCCCAAAACCTAGGGTCCTTAAGAATTATGCTAAAACTACTCTGCCTATGCTCTATAAATGGAACAAAGCTTGGATGACAGCACACCTGTTGACAACATGGTTTACTGAATATTTTAAGCCCACTGTTGAGACCAATTGCTCGGAAAAAAAAAAGATTCCTTTCAAAATGTTACTGCTCATTGACAAGGCACCTGGCCATCCAAGACCTCTGATGGGGATGTAAAACAAGATTAATATTGTTTTCATAACTATTAACACAACATTCATTCTGCAGCTCACAGATGAGGAGTCATTTTGACTTTCAAGT